GGCTGCTTTGTACCAGGAGACAAGGTGTGGTTGTATAATCCTAGGAAGACCAAAGGGGAAGTCTCCTAAGTTGTCTTCTCCATGGGAAGGCCCATATGACATAGTGGATTGTCTCTCAGACGTGGCTTTCTGAGTAAAGTGTGGTCGGCGAGGTAAGCCAAAGGTGGTACTAATAAGACTGTAGTCCATTGACATTACATGGCATGTCTGTAGTTATCAATGCAAGAAAGGACAAACTTCAAAGTAAAGCAGGTATTGACAAAAGCCATATGTTGTGATGAAAAGAATCAGTAATGTGGTTTGTAGAATCAAAAAGAACAGGCAATCCAAACCAAAGGTCATCCTCCATGATCACTTTCGGAGGTATATTGGTGAGAGAATTTGTCAATAGAAACTCAACTTGCTGAGGGCTCAAGGGTTTTTATTGAAACACTTTCAGAGGATCAATAAGGATAGAGTCACCAGCAGATTTATTGAGAACTTCCCAAGTGACAAGACAGCAAGTAATGACAAAGGACAAAAGATTATCCCATTTGTATGCCATAACCCTTGGAAAAGAAATCCACCAAAAAGACTTGGTGAATGAGCAGATTAATTTAGTGTTTTAGGATTGTTCAATGGGCTTCAAATCCAGGAAGGGGGCAGTGTTGTCAGCTATGTTTTCAATGTTTTAATTTAAGTTTTAGCTTCAGGGTACATGATACTAAGATTAAAAATATTTATAAAAGTTGACCTATAATGAAGAAACTTGCCATATTTGGCTGGAATGATAGTTCTGTATAAAAAAAGAAGTAGCTAATTGTCAAATAGTTGATGATTGATAGAGGATAGATGAATTAAAGTTATTCAGTAAGAGGTAGTATTTCTGTAAGCTAATCAGTAAGTTTATTTTATTATTAATCAAAGAAACTTCTGATAAATGTTATTAGTGAATAACATGCAGTAGTTTCTGTTGAAAATTTTTTTTATTTTAAGTTAAGTCTACAGGTGAAAGTTACTGCAGCAGATGTTAAAGAAGAAGTAACTTAATTTGTTTTTATTATGTGGACTGGATCTCTCATTATTTTTACCCAATAATCCAAAAGAACCCACCCAGTATATCAGGCAATGATTGAATATATTAAGGAAAAATTTTACTTTTAAAGCTAGAAAGTTAAAAATGTGCAGCAGTGACATTTACTTGATTCACCTTGCTGTTATGGATTAATATTGTTATGACAGTGGAAGTGATGTGACGCTAGTAACATGTGATGAGTATCTAGAAGTTTCATGAAGAGACGAGTGTAATCTAGATGTACGCTTTTATAGTATATAAGCCGACAAATAAAGTGATGGCGAGGATAGAATTGCAGACAGGCAGAGACAGAGACGGACAATTTAGTCAAGCGCGGTAGTGACCGTAAGTAAAGTGCATGAATCTCTGTAAGTTATAGCGTGTGTTTAAGTTAAAGTGACTGTGGAAATTAAGTGTATTGCAAAGTTGAGTTGAGAAAGAATAAACTAGTTTTATTTAAGAAAGGACTTGTATCACTGAAGTTTCTTGGAAAGAATTTATATGGAAAATTAACAAACGAACAACCAGAGACGTAACAATATATATAATTGACATCATTCTTACCTCAACTCTTTCGAACAGGATTTTTGGTTGTATTTGCAGAAATATTAAATATAAGTCAAGGAACATTATTGTTTCTTTGTAAAGATCTCTGATTAGGCCCCATTTGAAGTATTGTCTTCATTCTTGGGATCTTTACTTTAAGAAGGACAATGAACTGTTGGAAAAGGTTCAAAGAATGGGTACTAGGATGATTCTTGTGATGGAGGTGCTATGATATGAGGACAAATTAAAGTCCTTAAAACTCTCTTGAAAAAGAAGTGTCAGAGAGGGTAGATTGATGCATCATTTTTTTCTGTAGGTTCAGAAGACATAGATTTCAGACTTGGCAATTTTATTTTTCTAACAGGGTGGTAACCTTTGAAATAGATTGCCTTCAGAATGATAGACACAGGATTAGGAGAGTTCAAAAGAAAGCTTGATAATATTTTAGAGGTTGGGCCTGAATATAGGCAAGTAGGTGTTTGATGAAATATGAGAAAGCCACATTTGACCAAGAGGCCCCTGGGTGTCTGTCATATGTTATATTGTGATAATATTAAAAGTACATCTGTTACAATTATGCCTTTTTTTATGTGAATGTGGATTTCCAGGAAGCAGGATATATTTTATGAAAAATATATTTTGTACTCATTAAGTCAAGATACTCACATTGGTTTAAAAATGGAGTGGAGGATTATATTTACAGGGTTAGGTTTACAGGCTATTTACAGTATTGGAGCATGCATTTATTTTATACTTCTCATCATGCCTTTTTCTTTATTATCTACAGTAAACTTGACAGGTTCAGACAGGGTGGACATTTCCAATTTTGAACTGCTCAAAGTATTAGGAAAAGGAGGTAAGTATTGGTGTATTTAGATAATATTATTATATTTTTGAATTCCTTAGAACATTTAGAGTTGCAATTGAATAATTATATTCTAAAATGATGAACAACACTATTATTTAATTTTCAAGAACTTGAAACCTAAGATTAATTGTATGATCAAGTTATCAATAAAATTACTTGAAATTGTATGTTTTTTTCCTTTGAAAATATGGTTATGATGACTGTTTGGTTAATTTTGTCAATATTGCTATCCTTAATACATAAAACACACAGTTATTTGCACAATAATTTATTTGTAAAGTTTTAAGAAATATAAGTTAAAAGAAACTAAAAACTCTACATGTTTCAGTGGAAATAATTCCACCATCTTGTTTTTTCTCCTCCTCTTCTGAAGATGGTGGAATTAGTTGACCATAACACACTTATAATACAGTGGCAGTCATGTAAATTATAACACCAATACCTAAACATAGGATTATAATAAAATATCAGTTTTGGTATCACTGTTTCTGAAAGAAAAGAATGGAATTAATAAGGTAAGTTTGATGTAATTTTATAGCATAAATATTCAAACTTTGTAAATCACTGAATTCAATAAATCATCAATTTAGTTATTTCTATTTGAATATCAATAATACTATAATAATTTCTTGAAAAAATGGAGTAGTTTTATACCACATTTGAATGGAGCTGGTCAGTTACTGGAATTTGATAATTGGTTAATCATTGGACTCATTAATTGATTACATTTAACAAACTAATTATTCTCATGAGACTTGGATAGTTGGAATAATTGAAAATAAAATTATTTATTTATTTAATTATTTTTGTGACATAAATCAATTTAATTGAAATTTCAATTGATAGATAATTTTATGTGACACTAATCAATGCTAATAGGTAATTGAGTTAATTGCCCAGCATTACATTTTAATAAAAACCATCATTCTCAAAAATTATAGTTTGAGTGGTGAGAAATTTTGTGAGGACATGAGTCAACTTGCCAAGGTTAGTAACAAAATCAATAAAATGCATTATAGTTCATAGCATTAGACTAGCTTCAAGTATCATATCTTTCCAATTACCTTGTGATAAATCATTACTGGAAACCTTTACCAATGATATACTTAAATTTCTAGTATGTTTGTACAGAATATAATAAAAGATTCAGCTGATTTTACACATAAAATGATCACTTCTTTCAAAACATCATAGTTACATTCTGTGTTAGAGTGACATTTAATGACAAAGTCCACATGGAACAGTGTTTAATGTCATTGGTCTTACTTAGGATAAAGTAAACATGAGATAATCAAGCCTTAGAAATTTGTAAGGCAACTCAGGTCAAATGAAAATAGGCCAACCTAACAAATATAAAGTAACCAAGCAAGTCTGTAAAGGAACTCAGACCAAGTGAAAATCGACCATCTCTGCATACTGTTCTTCAGAACAAATGTAAATAAATGAATAAACTTTTTATTATGACAAACAAACAGAAAGCACAGTGTGCATACTTGTACAGACAGAATCAGAGTTGATTCTATTTAGCTTCACAACTCTCTTTTTCTCAGGATAGACTTCTGTAGAACTAAAGAGGATATTACAGTGTCAGTCATTTCAACCCAAAAGCTATATGTTACTCTAATATCCTCTCAGGCAGAGTAGACATTATCTTCTGCAGAAAAGAAAGCAAATGGAGCTGAGCAATCTCAGCAACTTTTTGGACCATGTGCTTATACTAAAACTTTATACACACCAAATAAATGAAACATTAAAAAATTGCTATACATCTAAAACAGGTATAAAACATAGTATACATATATATATATATATATATATATATAAACATAATGTAGCATAACAGCTGACAACTTTGGGCAAGCATCCAAAACAATTAATTCTTTAATTCATTGCTTTTAGAAACATCTAATTCAGTTTGTCTACATACACTCTGCCAAGTGCCCATTTCTTCCGATTCATTTTAGTTATAACATTATTAAATGAATAATTGTCAATGACTGTAATCTCCAAAAACCATTTTAGTTTTTGGAAAAAAACTAATATTTTCTGGAGATTACAGTCATTAATAATTATTCATTAGTTTAATAATGTTAGACATTAAGTTATTATTCACAATGGTATACATGTGTTAGAAAATGACAATGTAACATTTGAAATATCTTGGTGCTAATAAAGAACATAGATACCTTCTTGGAAAGTAATCTTAGTGTTGTTACATGGTTATTGATATAATTTTAATTTATGAATAATGCTTTAGAAGAGTAAACATTTTGTGCAAATGAACAAATAATATCTTCTGTTGGTCAGCTGAATTGGATAAGTTATTAGCCACATGCTGTCAGTTTAAATAGCAGACTTTCTATTCAAATAACAAAAAAATCCTGATGTGATTTTAAGCTGATAACCTAGAAACTACTTTAATTTCTCAGACATATGTTAGTGAAACAAAGAACAATACAAATTCCCATCATCAAATTGTAAATTTAAAATATGGAGGTAAATATAAGTATACAAGTGTTTTTATCAGAAAAATGCAGAATAGAATTTATTCATTCTAGTCTTTATAGATAAGAGATTAATACTACATTGGGACACATATGATCCTTGTGGGTAAAAGATTTATTTCTATGTATTGTAGGAAGTGATTTGTAATAAATATCAGGACTTAAATATAGCATGGATGGGCAAAATTACATTGTATCATAAGCAGTAAGTATTAGTATCACACAACACATTTGTTAATGCCAAAAATTGACAAGACTTCATTCAATGAACACTGCTATTTTATAAACATTAATACACATTTGGTAATAAAGTAATTGGCCCATACCCACTGAATTTACTTATGAAACCTATGCTGCTATGTTCGATTTATAAAGCTTAGCAGCTGCCACATGTAGCTTGTGGAAATCAAGATACTTGAAGGAAAGGAGTTAATTGACTCTTAAAGAGAAAGAGTAAAGAGATTCTAGTTGGTCTTCTCACATCTAAACCTATTGCAGATAATGTACATAAAAAATGGAAGACCAGTGGCTGAAATATGTCAAATGTTGGCACAGCCACCCAAAAATAATCACTTTTTGTTGTCCAGTTTTCTTTCTGTTTTTAGTCTCTCTCTTTTCTCTTTATCTTTTCCACAGCTTCTTTCATGGATCAAGATGTCAGTCTTAGAGGCATCTTCAGTTTTTTGTTTGCATTAAAAAGGAGAAGGATGAAGTAGTGGGTCATTATAAACTTTTTTGTATTTTGAATTTTTATCATGTTATTTTTCTTTCAAGGTAAATGTATTTGAGACATATCTGAAATTTGGTTTTAGTCACTAGGTGATGAAGATGGACATTTTGAGCATTTATATACATGCCTTTGTATACCCATTTATGCGGAATTTGGACATATAATATAGTTAGTGCACAAAATTATAGTATTCTCACATTTTTACACTTCTGCTTTGTCTGGCCACCAATTCTTTAAATTCTTTAGGCTCAAGCCATGTGGATTTGCTAGTTTAAGAATACTATTACGTCTCCGTTTGTTAATTAACTTTCCGTAACTTCGTTCCGATGAAACTTTAGCAACACAAGTTCTTTACTTAATAAAACTGGTTTATTCTTTCCGAATACAACTTTAGCAACACAAGTTCTTTACTTAATAAAACTGGTTTATTCTTTCCGAATACAACTTTACCGATACACTCAACTTCAACAATCGCGCTAAACAAACGCTATAACAATGAACGTCAATAATACTTCTGACCGCAGATCAATTACTCACTATCTTCACACACACATTACATTACCTTTTTTTATATACCAGCCTACCCTATCTAGCAAATACTAGAGCATTCGCCAAGATACGGGATAGTTCTAGAAACAAGAGGGCGTGAGAATTGTCACGTGATCTCGATGACGCAACAATACATTATCATTTATATATATATATATATATAGACATCTTTTCTTACTTTTCTGATGCACTCTTCTTTATCATTTTGAACATTTCAGTGTTACATTACAATATGTTGATTCTGTTTATGTGCTTGACTTTGTTCCATTTCTTGTACAAAACAGAAAAGACATCTCCTGAGCTGTCTTTTAATTTATTTTTTGATTTTTGTAGTCCAAAGTGTTTGTTTATGGCCATGAGGTATTATTC